GGAGGAGGAGGAGGAGGAGGAGGAGGAGGAGATTGGATTTATACCCCGCCCTTCACTACCTGAAGGTGTCTCAGAGCTGCTTACAAGCTCCTTTCCCTTCCCCTCCCCACAACAGACACCCTGGGTGGTAGGTGGGGCTGAGAGAGCTCTGACAGAAACTGCTCTTTTTCAAGAACAGCTCTTATCAGAGCTAAGGCTTGCCCAAGGTCATCCAGCCAGGTGCAAGTGGAGGAGTGGGGAATCAAACCCGGTTCTCCCAGATTAGAGTCCGCGCACTTAACCACTACACCAGACTGGCTCTCTGTAGAAGGAAGGCCGATGATGGACCTTCGAGAAATGCCATCACCTTTTACAAGAGTGAGCATTGATCTAGGATCTCAAAAGCACCACGCACCAGAAATACCACAGCCACAGCATGGCTAGACGAACTTCCCCCCACAATCCAATCCTGGCAAAATCGTATTTGGGACCACTTCATTATGTCCAAAATACCACTTAGCACACTCAACCTCTCCTCCAGCAAATTTGAAGAAAAAATTATAGCATCCTGGTATTCACTCATTAACTATACGGTGGAATCTGATGTAACTCCGGCAAATCCTTTGTACAATTCAATGATATACTTTTGAAACTTGAACCTGAAACATTATTAAGCTTAGCTCAAAGATAATACCTGAAGTTACTTTCAGAACACTGATATAAAAATTGCCTGTAAATATATGTATTCATTATACGATTGCTGCCTTAAGAGATGTTTTGTAGTGTGTGATATAGTTCTGTGGCATCTTCAGCCTGGACATAGGTAAAGGTAAAGGTTCCCTTGCTCGAAAGCCAGTCGAATCCGACTCTAGGGTTGCGGTGCTCATCTCCGTTTCAAAGCCGAAGAGCCAGCGCTGTCTGAAGATATTTCCGTGGTCATGTGGCCGGCATGACTAAACACCAAGGCGCACGGAACGCTGTTCCCTTCCCACCGAAGTGGTACCTATTTATCTACTTGCAATTTCTTGCTTTCGAACTGCTAGGTTGGCAGGAGCTGGGACCATAGACGGGAGCTCACTCCTTCATGTGGCACTTGGGTCTCAAACTGCTGAACTACTGACTTTCCACAGCCTCCAGTTCAACGTCTTAACCACTTGAGCCAGCGCAGCTGGACATAGTTAAGCATTAATGTTTTTGATAACCTATTTTTGTACTTTGTCTGCAGAAGTCTATTGCACTGTCCCGGTCCGGTGGCCGCGGGACGTAGACCCCCCCCCCCAGAGACGCCCCAACCGCCCGACTCACCCGGGAACCAGCAGAGGAGTGAAGCCACCACGGCGCCATGGCAACCGATGGAGCTGAGGCCCGGATCCTCAGCGCGGGAAGCCCCGGGAGAGACAATCTTTGGCGACCCAGAGAGTTGCAGTAGCTTTGGCAGAGCACGGCCCCTGGAGTGTGAACTCCAGAACCTTGCCCCAGCAAGCAGCGGCTGAGGGTGGACACGGCAAGGAGCCCAGGCGGCGTCCGGACTTATCACCGGGGCCGGGGCCAGACTGGGAGTAGAGGGGGCGGGAAACGCGGGTGGTGCTGGGAGTGGAGAAGGGGGAATAAAAGGAGAGAGATGCAGCTGAGCTGAGAGAAACGGAGAGCGAGAGAGGGAGGGAGAACGAGAGGTGTCCTGCGCACGCCGGCGTGCTGGGAGTGGAGAAGGGGGAATAAAAGGAGAGAGATGCAGAGGGGCCGGGGAGGAGAAAGGTGTGACGGAACTGAGCTGAGAGAAATTGAGAGAGAGAGAGAGAAGGAGAACAAGAGGTGTCCTGCGCACAGGGACTTAAGGGGTGACGTTAACCCCGCCCCCTGCCTACCCGAGACCCCACGGCAAACTCCTCCTTAACGAACTCCCTCCAACTCCCAGGACCGTCCGCCCTGGTGGGAAGCCAGATGCTCCCCGGGCCACAGACGGCGCCTGACACGTACTTACCTTGAATTGTTATTAAATCCTTAAATAAAAATTATAAATTGGGGGGGGGGGAGGAACACCACGCACGTTTAAAAGAAGAAAGCGAGTCTCTTACGTGTGCAAGGTGGGAGACGGCTGCTCGTTCCTCTCTTGCTGGCCGTAGCAGCTGGTTTTCGCTTCGGGGATGAAGGAGTCCCTGTCCAGCATGGCGGCGGCCGCCGTGGTGATAATCCCAAGGCCGTCCCGGACCCGAGCCTTCAGACTGTAGTCCCACTCGTCGTAGGCCACGGAAATGAGCCCCGAGGGGAACTCCGGGGGCGTGACCTCCATGTTCCCGCTGACCATGCTGGGGACGATCCAGAAGAAGTCGTACCCCGTCAGGCCCAGCGAGCGGGCCTCGTCCAGGACGTAGACGGCTTCGTCCTTCGAGCAGTAGAGCAGGATGACGGAGGAGTGGATCTTCTTCAGCTGCACCGTCGTCCTGGCGTCCCCGATGGGCGCGTCGAGGGTGATGATGTTCTGCATGTCCCAGCCCACAAAGCTGTTCTCCACGGTGTACTTGATGAAGGCGATGAAGTCCCGGTAGCCGGGGAAGGTGCTGGTCACCAGCGAGAAGACGTGCCAGTCGTAGTACTGCATGAACTTCAGCATGATGATGGCCTCCTGCTGGATAGAGGCCCCGAACTGGAAAAAGGTGGACATCAGATCCTGCAAAAAAAAAAGAGCCAGGGAGAAAGGAAAAGTTGTTGGGTATCAAACGGCTTTGGGTCATGGTCATCCTCTACCTTACTGCACTGGCAACCAAGAAGGAACTTTCCTTCTTTATCATATAAGCTACCAATGCTGGAGGGTATTCCACAACCCCCATCTGTCTCTGCAAGGTGGACTGGCTCACCTGTGACCACCTGCTCTGTAACGCCTACTTGTAACAGAAGCCATGGCTCAGTGGTAGAGCCCTGCGTGGCAAGCAGAGGGTCCCAGGTTCAGTCCCCAGCAGCGTCTCCAGTTTAAAAAGACCAGGCAGGAGGTGATGGGAAAGACCCCCGCCTGAGACCCTGGAGAGCTTTAAAGAGGGGCCGTGGCTCAGTGGAAGAGCCTCTGCTTGGCATGCAGAAGGTCCCAGGTTCAGTCCCCGGCAGCATCTCCAGTTAAAAAGGACCAGGCAGGAGGGGATGGGAAAGACCGCCACCTGAGACCCTGGAGAGCTGTAAAGAGGGGTTGTGGCTCAGTGGAAGAGCCTCTGCTTGGCATGCAGAAGGTCCCAGGTTCAGTCCCAGGCAGCATCTCCAGTTTAAAAAGACCAGGCAGGAGGTGATGGGGAAGGCCTCCACCTGAGACCCTGGAGAGCTGTGAAGAGGGGCTGTGGCTCAGTGACAGAGCCTCTGCTTGGTATGCAAAAGGTCCCAGGTTCAATCCCCGGCTTGGTATGCAAAAGGTCCCAGGTTCAATCCCCGGCAGCATCTCTAGTTAAATAGGACCAGGCAGAAGGTGATCAGAAAGACTTCAGCCTGAGACCCTGGAGAGCTGTAAAGAGGGGCTGTGGCTCAGTGGCAGAGCCTCTGCTTGGCATGCAGAAGGTCCCAGGTTCAGTCCCCAGCATCTCTAGTTAAAACGGACCAGGCAGCAGGTGATGGGAAAGACCTCCGCCTGGGACACTGGAGAGCTGTAAAGAGGGGCCGTGGCTCAGTGGCAGAGCCTCTGCTTGGCATGCAGGAGTTCCCAGGTTCAATCCCCGGCGGCATCTCCAGTTAAAAAGGACCAGGTAAGAGGTGATGTTTCCCTCTGCCTGAGACGCTGTCCCCAGCATCTCCAGTTTAAAGGATCAGTTTATGGGTGATATGAATGAGCTGGAGAGCTGTTGCCAGCTTGAGTAGACAAGATTGACCTTGACAGATCAAGACTCTGACTCAGTATTAGGCACCTGTATGCGTTCACCGAGCCTGCTCCCTCCCAGGGCCCACTACAGTCAATATCATGTATGCAGGTATTATGGAAGTGATACACGGACCTGTCTTGCAAAAAGACAGTTGTAACTGAACACTGGGCCCTTTTTGCTATTTGTTGGCCACCGCCAAGGGTCAGTTCACATGTGCACATTCACACCAGGGTGGCTTGCCATCAACACCATGCGCAGAAACCAACTTTCACATCCCTTCGACCTGCCATTTACCATCAGTCGTAGAAAAATTAAGCATTTGCACAGGGGAAATGGTCTTATATTATTCTGATACAGGCAGGGTGGGCAGGACCCCCTGGCCACCAGCACGGGATGGGGGTGGGGTTGCCAGATCCAGGTCAGGAGGCTTTTGGGGATTTGGGGGTGGAGCCTGAGGAGGATCGGGACCTCAGTGGGGTAGAATCCCATAGAGTCCGACCTCTTAAGTAGAGAAGAGGAGGAGATTGGATTTACGTCCTGCCCTTCACTCGGAGTCTCAGAGCAGCTTACAAACTCCTTTCCCTCCCCCTCCCCACAACAGACACCCTGTGAGGCAGGTGGGGCTGAGGGAGCTCTTCTGAGAACGGCTCCTAAGAGAAAAGCTCCGAGAGAACTATGGCTTGCCCAAGGTCACCCAGCAGCTATATGTGGAATCAAACCCGGTTCTCCCAGATTAGAGTTCGCACACATAACCACTGCACCAAACCGAAGATGTAAAATTTTCTGAATTTTTGAAGCTCGGAAAAAACCCCGGGTTTTTTCCAGTTTTTTTCGGGGGGGAAACGGAAATTTTTGGAAAAATTGAAAAAATGCTACATTAGCATTTCTTTTGTCTTTTCTAGATTGAAAGTCATTCTGTTACTTTAGGAACAAAAAATATGACTATGGACATTTTTACTTGGCATGAAATTATCACAACTAGCATATTAAAAATATAGTGTATCCAAACAATTATTTCAAACAGAATACCCACCCCCATGCAAAAACAAAACTGAAACGTTTTTATTTTCTTCTGACAATCGCACCTCCTAAAGGAAGAACTGCATCTTGTTCTTGCATTGGAGGGTTCAGTTTGTAACCTAGGACTTGCTTGTCCTCAGTGCACAGAAATTAGATCAATCTGATACCATATATATATATAAAAGAAATGATTTGGAAAATATTTGAACACCTTGTCTTAAAATATTTTATTCATCATGTTAAAATAAAACGTTCCATAATCAATTTTTTTCCCAATTTTTCCAATTTTTCAGAAAAAAACAAAAAGGTTTCAGGAAAAAAATGGGGGGGGTTCCCCCCGAATTTTTCCGTTTTTTTCCCGGGCCTTCACATCTCTACACCAAACCAAAGTACCCATTTTCTCCAGGGGAACTGTGTCATCTGGAGAGGAGCTGCGAACCATCAGTTTTCTACAGAGTGATGCACGAGCTCCATTGTTCCCTCTAAGCTGAGTTAGTGTGAGCCAGCTCACAGTTTTTTAGCCCCTGGCTCACACGTTTTTGTCTTTGCTCAGGAAGGGATGGCTCCCGAGCAAACTAATTGATGCAGCAGCCAAATCGCTCGCTCACAACTTTAATGCCGGTAGTGCACAAAGTAGCATTTTTTGCTCACAAGACTCCACCGCGTAGAGGGAGCCACTGTGTGCAACCTTTCCGGTATACATGCAAGTCATTCTGCATTCAGAATTACCACGCATGCACGAGCGAGCGGTACTTTTCTCCCTTTCTCACAATACAAGAACTCGTGGGCACTCCATGAAATTGCTGAGCGGTCAGGTTAGAACGGATAAAAGGAAGTACTTCTTCACCCAAAGAGTGATTAACACTTGGAATTCACTGCCACAGGAAGTGGTGGCAGCTACAAGCATGGACGGCTTCAGGAGGGAATTAGATAAGCATATGGAGCAGAGGTCCCTCAGTGGCTATTAGCCACAAGGTATAGATAGGGACTCTGGGGCAAGTGATGCTCTGTCATCTTGGTGCTTGGGGGGGGGTCAATAGTGGGATGGCTTCTAATGTCCTGGCCCCACTGGTGGACCTCCTGATGGCACTGGTATTTCTGGCCCGTGTGACACAGAGTGTTGGACTGGATGGGCCTTTGGCCTGATCCAACATTGGCATCTCTTATGTTCTTATGTTCTCTGACTCTCACACCTGCACAGTGCGTGGCCGAGGGGGTGGAGAATCCGTGTGTCTTCACACACTAGCCATCATGGACAGCAGCACACTCCCCCCCCCCCAGCCCCACAGCATTATATCAAACTCCAGCACACACAAAAATAAAGCCAGACACTTGGAACTGCAAATATCGGCCGTGTTGACGCCGCAAGATGCTACATCAGAAACGCTGACAGCCGATGTCACAGAAGGAAATTAAGCTCCGACACGTCAGACAAACCCAGCTCAGCTCCGTCTCACTTGTTTATGAAGCTGAGCTGCAGTTTCGGGGCTAGGGGCAGCAACCGGCCGGCGCCGTGACAACCCAAGCGCCAGACGGGGGAGAAGACATCTACGCCAGGAGACACGATGCCTCTCAAGAGAGGGCCGAGATCGAATTAGCCAATGTCTTAAGTGATGCTACTGAACAAGAAGACTGGAAGAATGAGAAATCCAGCTGCCTTTTTAAGATTCTGTGCAACTGAGTTACTTCTTTTTATTTTTACAGGCCAACCACTTGGACTGACCACCAGTTCCCTCTTCGGAGCCCAGCCTTTGGCAAGGTTAACCCCTTGGTCTGGCTTCTCAGAAGAGAAGACAGGAGTGTCCGTTTCTTTCTCAACCAGCTCTCATTTGTGCTGTGTTAGAAGAATACCACAAAGCAGCGCCTGACTTAATCTATGGCTGCGAAAAACTAACTGGGAGTCTCAGGACACCAGAAAAACTCACACATTTCTGTCCTGGGAACAAAAAAATGATTTAGCCTTCAATATGTCACATGATTCGTGTTTGTTTGAGAAGAGTATTGCTACTCCTCCATCACTGAACGACTAGCAAACGTACCAAAGGAGTCAGAGAGGAATCTACCTCCCACAGAAGAATCACCTGATGGAATCCCTCCATGGGGAAGGGGCCATGGTCAGTGGAACAGCCTCTGCTTTGCATGCAGAAAGTCCCAGGTTCGAGCCACTGCTTGTCATGCAGAAGGCAGTGTTCCCTCTAAGCTGAGTTAGTGTGAGCTAGCTCACAGTTTTCTAGCGTCCAGTTCACAGATTTTTGTTTTAGCTCAGGAAGGAGGGCTCCAGAGCAAACCGATTTATGCAGCAGCCAAATCACTCGCTCACAACTTTAATGCCAGCAGCTCACAAATTAGCATTTTTGCTCACACGACTCCACGGCTTAGAGGGAACATTGGCAGAAGGCCTCAGGTTCAGTCCCCGGCATCTCCAGTTGAAAAGGACCAGGCAGGAGGTGACGGGGAAGACCTCCGCCTGAGACCCTGGAGAGCTGTAAACAGGGGCTGGGGCTCAGTGGGAGAGCCTCTGCTTGGCACACAGAAGATCCCAGGTTCAGTCCCCGGCATCTCCAGTTAAAAGGACCAGGCAGGAAGTGATGGGAAAGACCTCCGCCTGAAACCCTGGAAAGCCACTGCCAGTCTGAATAGACTATTCTGACCTTGATGGACCAAGGCCCTCTCATTCAGTATATAAGGCAGCTTCATGTATTCAATCACAGCAAGCATCATTGGCCCATTCCTAACAGGAATCGGGTACGTGCCTCTGAGCCGCTCAGAGGAAAAACAGGAAGTGGGCAGATTTCTGTTCTGCCTAGCCCCC